CTGCTGTGAAGCCCATTTCCTTTATTAGTTAAATTTCCTCATCTGTAAAATGAGGCTGACACAACTAGATGATTGCTAAAATGTCTTCGTGCCTAAGTGCCCCTGTTCTAAAAGATAAGTCTGCATCGCAGACCGAAGGAGCTACCACTGTGAGCTAATGGATATGGCAGAATTGAACTTTCTAGATCTCATTGATTCTACATGTGCCCTGGGTTTTATTGCCCCACAAATGGACCTGGGGCTTCTAATGTACAAGATGAGAGTTACATACATTTGAGATCAGATTTAAGGACAAGATTAGGACAGTATGTAAGAGAAAGAAGAAATTACTTCCACACAATGGTGGAAAGAAGTCTAGCTAGGGCCTTTCCTGATTACACTCCTTAATGAAAGTTTAGGGAAGCTCCTCTTATTCTAGTTATCTCCTGCATAAATGGATGGATTTTATGTACTACTGTATGCCTGGGAGGAATAGAGGTGGGTAATATGACAGTAGATCTACAAACCTCTATGAGAGAGAAAGAGTCTTCTGATCATCTTGCCATGTATGAGAGTGTTTTGCAGATGCTTAGCTAGGATCCACTTCTTCCTGCCTTTTCCTAATAGCTGACATAAGGATCCCCAAACATAAGAGAGGTAGGCATAAGCCTTTGATTCACTACCCAAGGAGTATATTTGGTTTTCAGTGGCCATAGGATTTATGTTATACTGATATGACAAATGCCATTATATCTAGGAGGAAATGTAGGAAGAAGATTCTAACTTGATAAGAGTTGGGTGGTAATCAGTTGAGATTTGGGGCTGAACCATTCAATAGGATGAAGGTTTTTTGTGTTGATGAGGCTGACTCACCCTGTCCTCGACTCCTTGAATAAACTTAGATTGTCCATCAATATGATGATTAACCCATTTCTGGCTTGAGGTTTCTTTGTGAGTTCCACAGAAGCTCCCCCACAGGAAAAAAAGTCCAGGAATAAAGATACATCAAATCCTCAGGGGACAGACCGACTTTCTTTGCAGTCTTTGAAGGGTTCACAGGTTCAAATGCCTGATTTGTCAGAACTTTAATTGAGTAGATAAAGAGGTCCTCATAATTATAAACTGCAGTAGGTATAACAAGAGGCTAAATACATAGCTGTGGTTTTAATTAGCTGGTGCTTCAAATTAGTAATGTTGGTTTCAGTCAGAAATCAGTGACGTTATACACTGAAGACCTTATCACCATATAGTTCATTCCTCATTAAACTTCGCCATGTGAACCTTTCAATACAACACCATGCTGAGCTGGAAACGAAAAAAGTTGGACTTAGTTGGTTGCCATCCAAGAGCAGTGGACCTCTATGGAGACTAAATTCTTTCTCACCAGATATATGAGAATTAACTGTTCTTTGTCAGATGTGTTAAAAAATGCAGCAAGCAGTTTTGCCTGCAACAGATAACACCCGTGTGCACACTCAATCTGCTATTCAAATTTGCATCTGGAATTTGGTAGCTAATGAACTGATAGAAAATGCAGCCAAGAGCCTCCTAGCAAATCAAAGCTAGGGCTAAACTCATAAAGTGCCTTTAGTGCTGGCCGCTTGAAGGGCTGTCATGCAAGTTGAAGCACATTTCCTTTTCTTCCCTCTTTCATTTTTTTCCTTTAGGGTTTTAATTATGTCTTTCCCTCAGAGGTAAAAGAAAGCAGTTTGCAAAGCCAAGAGACCAAAGCGCTTCAGTTCTCCTCATGGAAGAATTAAATGTGATCTATGGGCTTGTCATTTTGAGATGTCAGGTGCAAAAAGTGAGCAGATAGCTAGGTAACTGACACCTTGCTCACATTTACTCAGAAGCAAGAGACTTCAGTTTTTGCTTTTCTGTTGAAAATCATCTGTTATAGAAAACAAAGAAATTAATGTCCTTCTCTATTGCAAAAATCATCCTACTTCTTCAATGCTAAATACTACTTTAAATTGTTATTCAATAACCATCTCAGGGCCTGATTTTCTTACATTTTTGACAAACTGATGAGCTTTCATTACCTGTGTCTATTTGTAGTATTAAGGGTACAGTGTCATGTCACAGTAAAATGACTGAAGTCGGTGCTATGGCTGCTTAATTCCAAATCAGCAAAGAAACTCTTATAAGTTGAGAGTTGCTTACAATTTTAGTAGTTTAGTCCATTGTTACCATGGAGGAGACCATGGTAGCACTCATGCAGACACGAAGCTGGCAAAGAAGCTAAGAGTTCTACATCTGAATCCACAGTCAGTATGAGGAGAAAGGCACTGGGCCTGGCTTCAGCTTTTGAAACCTCAAAACTCACTGTCAGTAGCACACTTCCTCCAACAAGGCCATACTTCCTAATTCTTTTCAAGTACTGCCACTCCCTTAAGACTAAGCATTCAAATACCCGAGCTAATGGGTGCCATTCTTATTCAAACCACCACAGATCCACATGCCTCTCTGCCTTTTGAATGTTGTGACAAAGGCCTGTATCACTAATCCTGGCTCTTTTTAATTGAAAATTTCATATATGCATACAATGCTTTGGTCAAATCGACCCCATATTCCCTTCCCTCAGTTTCTTTCCTATCCCGCACCAAAACTTTTCCCTCCCAGTTTCATGTGCTCATTTTTAAATTAAATTCATTAAATGTGTGTGGTTGTAGGGCAATCTATTAAAACATAGGTAGCCTATCAGGGGCTACATCCCTAAGAAAATTGGCTCTTCCTCCCCAAAGTGTCATCATCTGCCAGTAGCTTTTCATATGTGTGTATTGGGGCATGGAGGGGGGAACTTCATGAGCCTATTTACCATCCATTCTGTGATTTTATTTGGATGTAACTTTTGCAGGTCATATGCGTGAAGTCATATTTGCTATTGGTTACTGCGTGCTGTAATATTTGGTAAATAATCAGCATGTGCCTACCATCTCTGGCTTTTAGAATCTTTCTATCCACTCTTCTAAAATGATCCCTGAGTCTTGTGTGGTGGGAAGTATGTGATATAGGTGTGCCACTTAGAACTGAGAGCTCAACAACATCTTATTATCTGCATTTTGTCAGTTGTGGTTTACTTGCCATATACTGCAAAAGTAATTTTTTCTGATGAGGGTTGAGAGTTTTACCATGATGTAAGTATGAAGATTAAAAACACAGGGGCAGTTCCACATAGTGCCCAATAGAATGATAATAGAATTAGGGTATCCTCTGGGCCTATGACCTATCCAGTTACAGGTTTTGTCCTGAGGACTGAGATTTAAACCCAACCAGAAAGTAGTTCATTACTCCTATAACACCCATGTAACTATTGTAACAGTGGGCATATTTTACTAAGCTAGCTGTACTTGTGCCTCTCATGTTTATAATAGATATCTTCTGGAAAACACCCAAATCTAAACAGGGAGTTTATTTTATGTTACTATGAATCTTATGCTCCTAATGTGAAGGAAATTTTAGAGAATGTATTTAGTATATCTGCATTTTAACTCTAACCTTTCACATGCTATTAAATGTGGAACTTTTCCATTTGTAGCATCATATAGGCACTTTAAATTTTCAGATTTGGGAGAATTTTGAGTTTCAGGTACTTATGTTAGGGATATTCAGTTTTTATTGTAAATAATGCAGATTTAGAATTTAATTTGAAGTATTACATGACACAGAAAATACGTTTTTAATATGGAAACATTCTAATCTGCAACCCCCAAAATCCCAGACTAGATCTTAAATGTCTGGAAGCTTTCAATATTTCAGTGGAAAAATCTGAAATTTGGTAAAACTCTTATCCATAGTCTCTTTAAAAAAGATTTATTTCAAGTCCATTCAATGCTTGCCACATAGCTCTTTCATTGATATTCGATTGCTTGTTGTTTCAGCTAGTCCCCTTCTTTTCTTTTTTTTAAGTCTTTCTTATTTTTAAATATAAAATAGAAACAAGGTTGCTTCACATATCAATCCCAGCTCCTTCTCCCTGTCCTTCCCCTCTCCCACAACCTCCCACCAAACTCCCATCGACCCTTCCCCAATCCCCACTCCTTTCTCCAGGGAGAGTGAGACCCTCCATGGGGGTGTCCATAGTCTGTCATTTCATCCAGGGCAGGGCCTAGATCCTCTCCCCAGAGCCCAGGGTGAGAGAGTATCTCTCATTGTGGGATGGGCACTCAAAGTCCATTTGTATGTCAGGGATAAATATTGGTCTACTACCCAAGGCCCCATAGATTGCGTAGGCCTCCTCACTGACACCCACATTCAGGGGGTCTGGATCAGTCCCATGCTGGATTCCCAGCCATCGGTCTGGGGTTCAAGAGCTCCCCCTAGGTCAGGTCAGCTGTTTCTGTGGGTTAAACAAGTCCAGTCTTGACCCCTATGCTCACCTGTCCTCCCTCTCTGACACTAGGCCCTTTATTTTCTAAATAGTTTTTCCAAATGGCTCCCTTTCAATTGTGAAACGAACAAAAAAAATCATAACAAGAACAGCCAAACACAAAGGAATATAAGTATTTAAATAATTTAGTATTTGCATGTGTGTACCTCCACATAAGATGGCTTAATGTACTTAAACTCACCCATGAACTTTAAAATATGGTACATGCATTGGAAAGATTTCCAGTTTACCTAAGAATCTATGCTTTAATCATTTGTTTCCTTCATATTATGTGGCATATGTGCATTCATGGCCCCAGGTGGTTGACAAAATGTTGCAATCTTAATTCAACAAACCTCTGTGTAGTAGACTAGTTTTGAAAAGTGTTATATACCTAATAATAAAAAATTACAGTACATAAGTACTTTACATACTTGCATGGACAGAGGTACAACTTCTAATGAACAAATTTCTGGGTTCTTCCTTATTTTTAAAGTAAGTACATATAAAGAAAAGAATTCTCTGTTCTCTATGCAGCACTAAGTTGGGTAACTTTGGCTTGATTTTTTTTCTTCCTAGGAATAACAAGTGAGATCTAAATTTCTTCATGGCTAATTATGTTTTTCTGTTTGTCTTTTCCTTTACATGCCAGTCACTATGAACAGGACCGTAGTGCACTTAAAAAAAGGGAGTGGGAACGGAGAAGTCAAGAAGTTCAACAAGAAGACGATCTCTTTTCTTCAGGCTTTGATCTTTTTGGGGAGCCCTACAAGGTAGCTGAATATGTATGTAATTTATCTTTTTGAACAATACTTTTTTGCTATAGTTTTGAACTTGCTTATTAACACTAGCTTTATTTTCAAGCACCAAAGTTATTTTACAAGATAGATGTATTCTGCATTAGGGGAATTGAAAATTTAAAAAGATGTCTTTCAAAATAAAACTTACTTCCTCTGGCCTGTAAGACTTTCTATCTTCAAAGACCCCTTCACAATCCAACCCTCATTACAGTAAAACAACCCTTCCATGCTGTCTAGTATGTTTAGCCAGGCAACTCATGAAAACTTCATTAGAACATCAATGAGCAAGAATACTCATCTTCCAAATCAGTACCATCTACTGCAAAATTGATGCTTTCTGTTCCATTTCTTTTAGTGATGGTTGCAGGTATTTTTAATATTCTTTTTTAAAATTCCTTTTCTTTTTGACAAAGGAAAATAAGCCAGTGATGTTTCCTTGTATCTAATAATGATGGACTGGGAGAGTGTTCAGCCAGAAGACAGCAGGAAGCATGGATAATTTTTCCAGTGGCATTCAGCCTCCTATATATTTCTGTGAATATTCAAAAAGCTATGACTACAAGTATTGAATGTACGATGAATATCTCTGACCTTTCTTTTGGTAGTAGAGATTATGGAAAATTGGAAAGAAATTAGAAGGGGAGAGTTTTATTTTATTATTGGCGGCTGGTTGGATTTTATTAAAAATGTATTACTAATATAATCTTTAATCAAACTAAACCAATAAAAATAGATAAATGAATGAAAATTCAATAGGTTATTTAAGAAGGGCATCAGTTAAAGGACAGTGGCTTCTAGAGAAGGAAAGTTCTCAATGAATACAAAGTAAGTTCAGATTCTATTTTGGTGTAGAGAGTTGGTAGTTTGCATTGGTGGCTAGGAAGGCAAGAGTTCAGCCGCTTTATTTAGAACAAGAAAAGACTTCCTGAATTAGACACTTGGGTTGCTACCAAGCTTTGTAAGTCTGAGGGACTAAACCACAAATTTTTAAATGATCAGCAATTTACACACACACACACACACCACACCACACCAAAAATGTTTTTACAATTTCAGTTGATACAACTTATGTACTATGATTAAATGTTTGTATTCAGATATGACTGATTTAATTTTTACATATTTTGAAGGTCTTCTATGTACTAATTACTCTCTTAGACAAATATGCAAAGAGAAAAAGGGAATTTCTGGCCTAGTGACAAGAGTGATAAGAATGGACAGGTTGAGTTTCTAATATGACATAAGAAAGATTTTGCCTCCAGTTTATTTTCTTACCTGAAAATTTGGTGGTTATTGTTATTAAGTATTTTAGGAAGAAAGAAATTCTGCTGTCTCTAGTGAAAAATAATGTAGCTTTAATAATATTACATTTGATGTGTAAATGGGATACCAAGGAAAAGGCTTTGAATACCCAAATCTGGAACTCACTGGAGAAGTAAAGAGAGAGATTTGAGGGACACATGGAAGGTGTGAGAATACACATATTCAGTGGCACTCCTCAAGTTGGTTCACACATCACTGATAAAATTGTAGACACACCAAAACTCTTCCTTATTCTTACAATAGAAATGCTTATCAAATTGAAAATCAAACTTTGTGGTGGTAGGCCTAGGCTTGCATAAATCTTGCTACACCAAACTTAAATAATGCTCTCATAACTTGTCTTATACTATCAGTGCTTCATAAACTAGACAATATGAGACCCACTCCCTTGTACCTGCTGCTTTTTCTTGGCAGAAAGACTTTCATGTTCCTTACTAACTTATTTCTCTTCTTTGCTTTGACTATACCGTGTTCATGTAAAAGAATATTGACCTGTCAGATCTGGTTGTTGGTGGGAACCTTTCTCCGGGAGATACTTTTGTAGTTTGCAACTTTGAAACTCAAGTTTGTGTTATAATATTGAGAAGAATTCTTCGAAAGGGTCCTAACAAATATGAAGCTATTTGGCATGCCTGTGTCCGTATAAAAAGACTTGTGAGGAAACTCTATGTCCCTATTATGGACTATAGCTTTACATATGTGCTCATTTTAATACTTAAAATAAGTAGGGTATGCATTGTTCCCATTTTTTGAGGAATTTTAACTCTAAGTAATTAGGTGACTCCTCTGCAGCTTTGTATTTTCATGAATTGTGGCACTATACTTGTACCCAGTTCAGTGAGATTTTCTGTCTGTGGCAAGAAGTTCTTCCTCAAATGAATTGATAAGCTTTTCTACTAGCTGACTATGTAGGATAAACTCCTGTCTATGATTTTCTGTCTGTGGTAAGTTCTTTTTCAAATGAATGGATAAACATTTCTACTAGGTGTCTATGTGGAATAAACTCCTGTTTTGTTTCATAGTTTCCTGGTTTTTGTTAGTTTAAGTTCACATTATTTATTATTGTTATTATCGTTGTTATTGTTGTTTTAAAACAAGGTTTCTCCATGTGGTCACAGGCTGTCCTGGACCTGACTTTGTAGGACAGGTTGGCCTCAAACTTAGAGATCCCCCTGCCTCTACCTCCAAAGTGCTGGGACTAAAAATATGTACTATCACTACCCAGCTATTATTTCTATTTTAATGAAGAACTTCATACAATAATTTGATCATTTTTCCTTACCCCAAATCATTCTATATCTTCTCTACCTTTCTGTCCATTCATCTTTCAAAATTCAAAGCAAACAAGAAACCAAGAAACATAAAACCCCACACATAAATAAAAATAGAAAAAATTGAAATACCAATTAGATGATAATGCCAAAACAAAATAAAAATGATACGAATATTCCACAAAAAATACCATTTCGGTCATTTTATGGTGTCTAAATAACTATTCCTGGGCTTGGGGCCTGCAATGAATTATGGTTTACATAATCAGTGAGATCCCATACGAAAAACGGATTTTGTCTTTGCCAGCAGCTATCAATTGCAGATAGTAATTGGTTAGGTTAGGATAGGTTAGGATAGGTTAGCTTAGGTTAGCTTAGGTTAGGTTAGCAATGTATTTTGGTTAGGGCTGTAGCCTTATATATATACCTCCCTCTAGTGCTAGGACCACATTTAACTTGAATCTGTATGGGGCTTGTGCATTACTGCCACAGTCTCTGTGGATTCATATGAAGAGAGTTTGATTGAGTCATCCATTCACGCTGACTCTTGAAATCTTTCTTTCTCTTCTTCCTTATAGAGCCCTGAGCCTGAAGGAAGGGAAGGGATTTATGAAGACATTACAATTAGGACTGAGTAATTCAAAGTCTCTCATTTTCTGCATACTTTCTAGTTGTGGATCTATTTATCAATTACTATCTACTTTAAGAAAAAGCTTCTCTGATAAAGGTTGAGTGAGACAATGATGTATGGGTACAATACCAGTAGTCACTAGGCATCATTTTAATGCTATTCCCTTAACAGAATGATGGCATTACATTTTCCCCTAAGTCCACGACTTATCTAGCTTCAAGTTTCTTATTGGTCATGAGTTCTGTCTCACAGAGTGAGTCTTAAGTGCAACTCTCATAACATTTGTGACATTATTCCTCCTTTTTGAAACAGTTCATATTATAATTAATACAATTGCTTTTACTACTACCATTTTGCAGATTATAATGACTTAATAAAAGTGAGGAAACTGAGGTACAGAAATATTTAAGTGGTTTGTACAAGAATATTTGTATTAAAGGAGGTAAAGACGGATAGAGGAATATTTGAATGATTGTAGTGAGGATAAAATGAAACATTTTGGAATGCCTTGCCTTAAAATCTGGAACATACTATAATGTTCAAGTTTTTGTTTGATTGCAAGTAAAGAAAGGAATGTCAACTCATAGCCCAGAGAACTTAACTGTGAAAATATCAGAATTAGGAAAAAAGATAATTACTAAATAACATACTTTAGCTACACTACAATAGAGTAGAAAAAATGAACTTCAAAACTTGAATTATTTTGCTTATTTTATTAAGAGGAAATAGTGTGGTACAATAGCCTCTTAGCATGTTAGTCTGACAATGAAATTATACTACTGATTTGTAGATAACATTAGAAGCAAACTGAAGGAACTTTGCATTTCCTAAAGTAATGAGAAGCAAAAAGCTTAAATGAAGGAGTGCTGTTAGTCATGAGCCACAAACCAGACATATAATTTGTACTTGAAAATACTTGGAAAATTCATTTCCTTGATGATAGACAAATTGTGATTACTTAGACAATAATGACTACAAAGGTTACCTTTAAGGAATCAACCAATTACGTAGAATGGGAAGTAAAGTAATGGCCACATTGAAAGAAGCCTATAATTGATTGAAACAGCTAAATTTCATCATTGCAATGTTAAAAATGTTTGATTAAGTCTTCTGAGAATACCTTCCTCCTTAATAAGATTACTCAAACTCTGGAGGGCAGAAAAGGAAACGGAACATCTAGTATCCATTAGAAGTTGCTATGTTGTATAATGAGAGCATGTTAGATAGGCATGTATAAATTTGTTTCAGGGTCCATTTGGTTTTCTGTGCCTTATCTACTTTTTGAGAAATCACAAGATTAGTTCATAGGTGCCTCTCTAATTATGAGGAAGCAGAAAATTGACCCTGGTAGCCTGGTGATAACTATTAAGTATCTGGTGGTTGCTGAATGGTAGACTTTTTTGAGGGTAGGTGTCTATGCCTATGTGTCTGTGCCTAAATTTGCCTCATGAGTGTTTTGAACTTACCAGTATTTGTCATTAGAATGACCACAGTATTTCCTACTTGTAGTCACAGCATATCTCTTGTGTAAAGCCTGTGGATCTTCCTTTAATCTTCAACTCAGAAAGCTTGGAAGGTAAACTCTACCTTAATTTATCTACTATACAGTTACTGTCATGAGGTCTTCTGAGACAATTGCTTTCTGAAGAAGTTAAGAGAGATGACAGCTCTCCATTCCTATAGGCTATCACTGTTCTACCTCTATGACCTTTTTGTATAGTAAAATTATAGACTGATTATGTCAGTGTAACCCCAACTTG